CTGTCATCTGCCTTGTCTGCTTCACCTGCACCTGAGCTCAATATCCCTGAGTGACCCAATCATAGTCCTGACGATTTAGAATCTGTGCAAAGATGTGAAAACTGCTGTCCATAAAAGATCACTAAGCAACTTAATGAAACTATAGACAGAACTTTTTTCCAAGATGGTGTGCAAATGTGGTATAGACTTACTCAAAGCAACTTGAGACAGTAATTTTTGCCAATGGTGCTTCCACCAAGTAATAATAATAATAATAATAATAATAATAATAATAATAATAATAATAATAATAATTGCTTACACTTATATAGCGCTTTTTCTGGACACTCCACTCAAAGTGCTTTACAGGTAATAGGGACTCCCCTCCACCACCACCAAGTACCGAGTTCACAAGTTTAAATACTCATGCAATCAACATATTTATTTATTTTTTCTCTTTAGCTTTTGCTGACATTTACTGTAATATATTTTACCTTTGGAAGACTTGAGTATTGAGTACAGGCTTTGAATACATATTGTTTTAAAAATGTCAATGCATATGAATACCTTTGCAAGAAGCTGTACTTCAGTTCTGAATTTGATGGCTTGCAGACCATGCTATTTGAATGTTTTTTTTATATGTTTGACCTCAACAGATTCTAAGACCCTTGATTCATTTTCGAGTCTTGTGTTTGAATGCTGTTTTCGATTTAATCAGCTGCTTCACCTCTTTAGACATTGAAATTGAAAGATTTTTAGGTTCTTTTGATTTCAGGTAGCAGGACGTTTTGAAGTATGGTAGAATGTCTCCTTGTTTGTTAACCCATACTAGTTCATGCTATTTTTTACAGCAAGGCTTTAGAAGATTAGTTTACAGATAGTCAGAAGCTTCACACACGAGCATCTTTCAGCCAGAAGTTCATTATGACACACAACATTCTGGAACCGAATTATATTTAAGCTGATGAAAAACATATAACCATTATAAACATATAAAGTGCAATTTTTTGATGAACTATGTTAGACTTAAAACTTATGCTGTCGGACTTATTTATTTTATTTTACTGGCACTGCTTCCACATCCTCAGATATTGTATAACAAAGTTAAAAACCAGTCAAGTCAATATAAACATATACAGTATATATATTTACTTCATTGCCTGTGCCACAACTATATCAATACTACCTTGAATAAGCCTTTGTTGTGTTATTGTAGTAGTAACAAAGCCTTTGAAACAAAGCTTTATACAGTACGTTTAGCATGTTATTCTTCAGTTAATCATCTCGTATTCCTTTCTGTGCCTGTTCCTTAACTTCATAGTCAGCACTACAGTATTGCCTGAAAGTGTTAGCAAACCTCTGTAAAGCCAAAAAAGAAACACTATAAGTGTGTTTTTTCTTCAAATAACAGATTCTGCCACCGACCCTTCAACTCCCTACCTTACCTAAACCCGCATACATAAGTCTGGTGAGAAAGCTGTTAAATAACATGTGAGCAAAACGTGGGTCAACCTCTGGGCACACTCTGGGAAGTCTGCACAGCTACAACCTCAAAGCTGTTATTTTAAGAATCCTGTCACTTGTCCCCCAACCCTTCCTGCCAATGCGAATATGGTTTTTCTAGCTCGAATTAAATTTCCCAAGGCCACAGGAGCAGCATGCTGTAAATACTAGCACGCCATGTCTCTGCTGATATAATTTATATCCTTCATTAAAACCAAGATGTCTTTGACTGTTGTGAGCTTGAGGTTAAGCACATAACTTTTCTTTGGCAAGAGACCCAAGGATCATTCTGCCAAGGACTTGCACTGGACGGGTCAAGCACAATGAGCAACCCATATACCTACATGTAGTGCCTGGTCTCTACTGGCCTGTCTGTAGAAGGAGAAGGATTGTGGCACACAGGTTTGGAGCAGGCAATATAACAACACAATGACAGTGATTAGCAAAAGTGAAAAATATATATATATTCACGCACCACTAAGAAATGCTGAATAAGATCAGAAAATGAAAACGTTACTGTACACTGACAACACATCATAAAATACATCCATTAAAGAAAAGTAACACATCATTAACTTATATTTGTATGTGTTTCGATAAAAAAAAGCTAGTTGGATTAATGACCCATTGGAAACAGACCTTTCTTTAAGTGGTCCACATTATAAGAAGAATGATCCAGGTAACTAGGAGTGTAAGTGTTAAAAAACAAAGAGTGAAAACCGAGTAATCACTCAAACAGAAGTGTTGTTATATACAAGCGCAAAAACAATTCATAACAAATTCAATCACAGCCGAAATTCAACCCTCCCTCCAGCAACAAACATTAAAAACCAGCTCCAGAATCTGACGAGTGAATGAAACTCAGAACAGGGTAAGCCGGTGTGGAATTTCCTGTCAAACCGTGTATAGTTGCTGTTGTGACAACGTGACACTGCACACACATATCATCTGAAGTACAAAAGGAAGTGAAACGTAGTTTGTATATATATATATTCCACTGTCTCTATCACTCTGCCTCAGCCTATCTTCAGTTCCATACCCTCCCAACACATCCTCTCATCCTCTCCTCCTGTTCAACCCCTTTCTTGAGTCAGTTTGTTCTCCAGCCCCTGCTCCTCAGCAGTGGGGTGATCTACCCACAGAAAGCAGAACTGCTGAGTCCCTGATTAACCACATGTCACCACCTGTACGTCCTTCAATAACTCTTACACTGTATTGCATTCATATTTTCATTAATTTCACTTTTTCAATGTGAACATAGGACATACATTACCAGCTTGTATCTAAACGAACTATATAGTCTTCATATTGGCTTAATTGTTTTTGTTTAGGATTTTGCAAGAGCCCTTTGTTATGCTTTGTTATGCCAGCATCCATATCACTCTGCAACTCAAAAATGGCAGTCCACTGAAGCTCAGCAGGTGTGAGCCTGGTCAGTACCTGGATGGGAGACCTCCTGGGAAAAACTAAGGTGGCTGTTGGAAGAGGTGTTAGTGGGGGCCAGCAGGGGGTGCTCACCCTGCAGTCCATGTGGGTCCTAATGCCCCATTATAGTGATGGGGACACTATACTGTAAACAGGCACTGTCTTTCGGATAAGATGTAAAACTGAGGTCCTGACTCTCTGTGCTCATTAAGAATCCCAGGGCATTTCTCGAAAAGAGTAGGGGTGTACTGTAACTCTTGCATCCTGGCCAAATTTCCCATTGGTCCTTACCAATCATGGCCTCCTAATAATCCCCCTCAATGAATTGGCTTTTTTTACTCTGCTCTCCTCCCCACTGAGAGCTGGTGTGTGGGGAGCATTCTGGCGCACTATGGCTGCCGTCGCATCATCAAGGTGGAGCTGCACACTGGTGGTGGTGGAGGGGATCCCCATTACCTGCAGAGTGCTTTGAGTGGAGTGTCCAGAAAAGCGCCTAGTACTGTAAGTGTGAGCGATTATTATTATTACTATTATACTTACAACTTGTGCATTACTGATTTTCTATTGTACTTCTAGGTTATCATTCTGTATCGATTGTTTCCTTTTAATGCAAACTTTGTCTTGGAAATCCAAATGGTTGAGTGTGTTTGCTAAGCAAATGAAAAAACAAAACGCAATCTGGTTTTATGTAGGCCTTGAAAACTAGAAACAATTGATACAAAAATAAATGGAATTGTTTTTTTCAACACTATCTCACAAATAAAGAAACAGCACTATAGTTATCTAGCACATTTGGTTGTCAGTAGAGTGCTGATTTGAGAATCTCATTTGGGTCTCTCTTGAAAGAAGCCAAGATGGTAATGTCAGCATCATGGCTGCATAGCTGAAGATGAAGTTAGCTTAAATACTGTACATTGTCATAACGTCAAATTATAAAACTACATTTTAAATCAAAAAAAGTTTGTAGAAAAGTCTGTAAATCTATTGTAGGATGGACTGATAGAGAAATAGAGAAATTCTTGTATAATGATCAGATCTACTCATACCAGATGATGACAAAACTGGATTTTGTGCAGTTTTTTTTAACATCACTTTATTGGCCATATACAATTTCTTGCATTAGGAATTTGTCTTTTCGCATACCCCAGCTTGCTCTCCACGAGACACAGACACACAGACAGGGAGAGAAGCTTGGGGTCAGAGCACAGGGTCAGCCATTGTACAGCACCCCTGGAACAGTTGGGGTTTAGGGCCTTGGTCAGGGGCCCAACAGAGTAGGACAACTCTGCCAGCTGCAGGATTTGAACTAGCAACCTTCCAGCCCCAGGCACAGATCCTTAGCCACAGAGCCACCACTCTGCCCAGTTATTAAGCAAGGGAAGAAGTAGGAATGACCATATGCAGCCTCTGGAGAGTTTGTCCTACGCACATTGAAAGTAAATCAACATGCTGCACTCACAACTGAGGACACTGGTACCAGACACTGTTGAACTTTAACCTTCTTTAAAAGCAGAAGGTGGAATTTGAAACAAAAATTAAAACATTAGATCTATATGAGTCTAGTTTCAGACTATGATCTGATTACAGGCTAAGAAGGTTAAGGGTAATGATGCTGACTAACCACAAATTTGACTCAACAGTAATATGGGTTATAATAATACCAAAATTACATATTTTAGTATGCATGTACGATGATATATTACATGCAAAAATAAAGAACTTTGTTACAATGTGAGCTACCCTGATTTTCAAAAGGCCAACTGGTCATAGACAAAAACAATGGCCTTATTTAGATCAAATCACAAGCTGATCCCATTATTGCTATAACCAGTCTAATTTCTTGATACATTTATCCAAAGCAACTTACATTGGCACCCATTTACAAAGTCAGATATCTTTCTGGAACAAACTGAACTGGGTTTGAACTCACATCCTTCTAATTACACGTCCAGTACCTTGCCGCTGCTTCCTCTCCTAAAAGCACGTTTCGAAATTAACACATTAATTTCAAAGCTATTGAAAAAAAGCAAATCCAACCAACCAAACAACACACCCGCACAGGTGGGCCACAAGCAGACCCAGGCCGCCCTCACCTGCCACTGCTTCATCAGCTCCCGGACGACATGGGGGTCCTCCAGTATCCCCTCCTTGTGGGTGGCATCTTGGAGGACGTTGGCTGTTGTTTCCGCTTCCGTCAGCCAGCTCAGGAACTTCTCCAGGTCCACATAGAACTGCTGCAGGAGTCTCAGTGCTGCTTCCAGCGCTGCCTCCCTGTCGCCCACCCTGTAGACAGAGACGCGTTCGTGGTCAAATTGATCATCGTCTCTGAAGGTTCATTTCTGTGCTGGTGGAAAGCATTTGTTTGAATGTTACTGCAAGCTGTACCTTGAGTAGATTTTGAAGGCTTTTTTCTTTTCAAGACCTTCCCATTTTTAATGCTCTTTTCCATGCTCTTTATAACAATAACCAGATTTCCTCACCTAATCATTAGAGGACATAGAGGTGAATAATTACATACTCACAGTGCATTATTTATACACAATTGCAATGGCAATTAAATTTTCATTGTGCTAGTCCTAATGTATTGTTAAATATTGTTGATCCTATTAACATTTATGTGCTCTCCTTTGCAGTACACTCTGAAATCAATTGGCTAAATATCTGGAAGGTATCTGAATTTTGGGCTCGATAATCTGTTTCTGGACTGATTCAAAAGCAACAATATAATTTTTAATAGACAGTAACAAAACTGTATACAGTATTCTAAAAGAAGACTTACTATTGCATAGCACAATTTTTAATACAGCATCCGATTATCTAACCCCTATCCTTTTAACTACAGTATGTATCGTGACATTCTTTTTCATTTTTATTCCTTCTCCAAATAGTTCAGAAGATGTACAGTATAACTGGACTTCTCTGGGAATCGGAAAGTATGAGCGGGAAACAATCAAGACCATTAATCATAGCTTTTGCATTTGAATGAGATTAAAAAATGCTTGGTTACAATTTTTGATCTGACCGAC